TTTTTAAGAATAATTTCTCCTACTTTTAACGCCACCACGGGCGTTATGTAGTCCTCTTTTCAAATGGAGGCGATTACTAATTTTAGTGAATGAATGTGTTTGTTTGTCATGGTGCTTTTTCTCATATACTTTTAAATTGTTTTTAGAGTTTTTATGGAAATAAAACCTCAATGACGAGGATAATTTTAAATTTAAAAGTAAATAAAAAAGGCTTTGTCTAGTAAAGTTTTATTAGAGCGTCCAACCTAAAAATACACATTTATGAAGAAATGCAAAAAATGTGGCAAATCATTCTTAAAAAAAGACATGAAAGTAAGTGGAGTGAAAGGAAAATGCAAATACTTTGCTCGCTATTACTGTGCTATTTGTTCGCTAAGTCCAAAGAAATCAATTGGCTATTCCTAATAATATATATATTTTAGAAATATATATAAAAAAAGCCCCCTCCGGGGTCTATAAAAAACTATTGTGAAGGCAAATTGCCAAGGGGTCGCGGGAGGAGTAGACAACCATTGCCCTGGTAAGGGAGGGGAGACTATGCTCCCGCTCCTTATTCTCCTCTTGCTTTCATTATTTCTTATTGTTGTCGTTTAAGAAAACAAGAGAAAAAACAAAACAGCAAAACAAAAAAGAGAATAAAACCAGGTATAAAGGTATCTAGCCCAGGCTTGCTGTGCCACGCCCTACTCATTTTATTCCTCCACCTGCTAATGAGGTTAAGGGGTTATTCTTTCGGTATCGTGCTCCCCGTGCTTTCACACGGCTCCGACTTTTTTTGCGATCAGTTAAAATGTTTACTACTAAAAAATTAAATATATTTGGGTTTGATTTTTCAGTAGAGACATCTTATTTAAATTTTATATATTTTGTTTAATAAACAGCACTTATATTATGGCAGAAAGAAACTTGGAACCAAAACACACATTCAGCATTCAATTACCAGCCTTTTTATACCAGAAGGCATTAGACAAGGCAGGAAGGAGGGGAATTGGTGCTCTTATCAGGGAAATATTAATAAAAGAATTAGGCAACGAGGAACAAAATAAAAAACAACAACTAATAAAAGACTATCAATCCGTCGCCCAAAGCCGAGCCAGAAAAAAAGAGGATGAGATTTGAGACGAAACTTTAAATGATGCCTGAGAAAATTAATAACCAAGAATTCCCCAAAGAGGGTGAAATTTGGCTAGTAAAATTTGATAAACTGAAAGAATTTTCTAAGACTTATCGCCCTTGTTTAGTAGTCAGCAATGATACACAGAACCAATTTGATAAAAATGTAGTAGTAGCAGGATTAAGCATGGACGAAATGGAGCGGATTCGAATGTTTGAAATTTTTATTGAGGCTACTCCGGAAAATGGCTTAAAAGAACCTAGTAAAATTTGCTGTAATTATCTCCACACAATTAATAAAAAGTTGCGGTTAATAGACAAAAAAAGGATGGGAATAGTCAGCCCCGAAATAATGCAAAAGGTAAAAAAAGCCTTAAAATTAACTCTTAATTTAGGAGAATAATCATTATGAAAGACCAGCAAAAATTACTCAACGAATACCGCGAATGCTACTCTAATCCTCATTTGCTAAAACTATCTAAACAATGAGAAAAAGCCGAAATAAAAAGTTGGTTAAATTATGAGAAAATTAGGAAAAAAACAAGTTCAAAAACCAAATGCAATCCCTTAAACAAGGTCTCTCCATCATCCTCTTAAAAGAAAAACATCGCAAACTAAATAAAAATGGTGAAATCTACTACTTATTAACTTATAACCTCCAAAAATCTTTAATCAAAAAATATTTTACGCTAATTGGCACCAAAAAACCTACTTTGAAAAGCAATCATCGTCCTTTGTTTTTATTTAGTGAAAAAAAGAAATGAGCCGGCGGTCTCCATGAGGGAGAAGTCTATTTAGTAGAATACACCAGCCACGGCAAGTATTTACATGTTAAAGATTGGCGGATATTAGGAGATAAATTATCCGTAGAAAGAAGTTGGAATATTCTCCTCAAACAGAAGCAAAATCTATAATCTATCTAGCCTCTATAATGGAACCTCCTTTCTAAAAGAAAGAACCAAAGAAAAATTATTTTCAAACCCTAAAAACCTCTCAAAAAATCTAGAAAATCCCCTAAATTTTTAGGGCGTCCCGCCCTACTGGTTTTTAAATTGACCACAATAAGCGGAAAATCCTTGAAAAAACATTAAAATATAGGTATATATGATATTTTGTAAAGAAAAGAGAATTATTGAAGGAAAAAAGTAATTAAAAGTATAAGTAAAAAGGCATAAAAAGAAGGTTAAGAAATCATGGAAAACACCAAGGAAAAATTGAACCAATTAGGCAACTCGGAGAGTTGGCTATTTTTTTGCTACTTTTTTTAAAAGTTATGACAAGACTAACCCAAGAGGAATATCAGAGAATTAAAGATATTAAGATATTAGACCTGGAAATCTGTGATTATCAGCACATTAATATCTTAAACCTTGGCTGGGAAGTGTGGGGGAAATGGTATTGCCTGAAACATGAGAGGGAGCATGTTTTATGTCCTAAATTATGTTTGCCGGTAAGTAGGAATATATTAGAGTGTGAATTGGTGCGGAGGAGGACAAAGAGAATAGAGGAGCCAGTAAAGCCTAATCGTCCTTATGATTGGGCGAATTGTTATTTGTGCGGGAAAGAATTAGAGGGAGCAAGTAAAAAAGGAGTGATTAAGAACCGGAATAATCCTGGGTTTTGAGGGATAAGCAGTAGTTATAAGATATTGTGTTTGGAATGTATTGGAAAAGAGTTTTATAAGAGAATGGTGGGGTGGCAGAGGAAGAAGTGGAGGGAGTATCGGAGGAGGGGGTATGTTTAATAATTCAAGTTTGAACCTCAATTATTAAGAATAGCCAGCCACAAAAGGAGGCTTTTTGTGGCAAAAGCAGATTCATTTATTTAAACGAGATACTTAAATTAACTTGTTTATCTGGTCTTTTATTGGTGATGGAGATTTACCGAAAGTTTCTTTTATAATTCCTAAAATTTTTTGTTTTTCCTCCTCAGGAAGGTTTTTATTGTTTTTTAAATCGTTCATCTTTTCTTTTAAATAAACCTGCGGGTCTTTTTTTTCTAACTTTCAAGGTTTATGACTTTCTGCTTCACTAATAGTATAGCCACGATTAATAAGAAATTGTAATTGACTTTTTACAAATTCTGAAGCAAGACAAAGCGTTTCAGCAGGATTAACAGAATAAATTAGGTGTTGTTTTCTTTCTATGACTGGTATTGGTAAATAAACTTCACATTCATATAAACCCATTAAATTGCCTTCTGAAATTTTTTTAGGACTGCTAATAGTAATATTCTCTAAATTGCCTTGGTAGGTGCCTAACTTTTTGAGAAAAAAGGATATTTTAATCATAATTGTTCTTAACACACAGCCATACAAATACCATAAGCAGCGAGACAAGCGGCTTGACAAACAGGAGGAAAAATCGAAGCAAGACAAGCAAGTGTACATCCCCTTAATACCTCATAGCACGTTTGTTCACAACCACCCGGACAAGAAATTGGCTTTCTAAACTCATTTTTTTTGGTGCTTAACTGAGTGAATTCCACCCGATTTTGTATTGACTTTTCAGTAGCATTAGCATTAGTTAAGTAATAAAAGTTATCTCAATTGTCTACTGCTGGAACTTCATAAGAGATTTCTGGTGTTTTTTCCAATTGTAATAACTCTTGCTTGTTAGCATTATTTATTGATGTTAAACCTAATAAAGGTATGATTAATTTAGTTATTTTCATATTTCTATCATTTAATTTAATATTTGTTTAATTAATTTTTACTAATTTTAACAGCATTAGCGGCTGTTCTTTTCAATTTTTATTTCTAATTTTTAAGAATAATTTCTCCTACTTTTAACGCCACCACGGGCGTTATGTAGTCCTCTTTTCAAATGGAGGCGATTAC